TTCTATTGTGAATAAAATATTGGCTCATGTGATTTGAAAGTCGTATAGTTTTCATTTTATTCAAATTTAAAAAACGTCCCAACTTTTCCGGAATTCGGGTTGTACTTTGCTGGCTACAAAAGGAATTGGATGTGCTGAAATGAGAGTAGCCAGATGGTCAGCCCGGTTGCTGTGTTTTTCGTATGACATTGAATACCGCCCTGGTGCTCAAAACCAGGCCGCAGATTGCTTGTCAAGAATACCCTTACCAGTGATGAACGAGCACACTGAGGAACCAAAAATGGTTGCCGCAGTCCTTTCAGGGTTACATTCAGTGTCCATGGAGGATTTTTCAAAAGCTTCAGAATCTTGTTCTGAGCGGTTTACTTAGAACGCAAATACTGAATGGCTGGCCACACAACAAGAAGGATGTAGATCCAGCCCTATCATCATTCTTTTTCATTCGTGATGAACTGTCAGTGTACAACGGATTGATCATGCGATGTGAACATCGTGTCGTTGCCTGGTGCCTGATGTAGCTGGCTCAAGAAACACACCAAGGTTTGGTCAGAGCCAAACAAAGGCTACGTGAACTGTACTGGTGACCGAAAATGGATTTGTTAGTTAACTCAGTGATTTCAACATATCTTTCTCGTCAACTTAAAGCTATGGTATACGATTTTGAAAATCGGTCGAGAAAGCCTGAATTTTTAAAAAACTCATCCCGCCCCTCCACACACACACCCCTCCCCTCTGTGCTACCCGATCCCTCCCACCGGGAAACGAACTGAACTACGTCACTCAGTCAAGCTGTGATCACCGGTAGTAAATATCGGAACTGAGATGTAATGTCAGTTCATGTAATGTTCAATCTAATGACCTCGCTAATGACACATATGTAAAATTGTCTTTAGACACTTGAACTTAGTTGCTTCATCAACAATTCAATGTCACGTTTGAGTTCACGTCAACGCAAGATTAGCAACACATGAAATGTTCTAAACTCCCCACCACCATTAGTATAATACTACTAGTATTGCTAAGGTTTTCAGTAATTGTTATTGCAGCACACAGCGCATCTTGTTCAAATTTTGATCGGCTCGAACAGAAACCCGCTAACTTAGGCCAACTGAAATATATTCAAGGACTTCAAGAAATATAATTACTTTGACCCGTGATAGGCGATGCTAAACGGCTAACATTCCAATGCCGACCGACAGCATGAGCAAGTTGTCAAACTGATAAAAAGCTATTTTTGTAACACGTCCATAAAAGTATAAATAAATGTTTACCTGCTCAACAAAAAGTCAGCTGTGTCAGCGTCGGTCTTTAGTCCCAGATCTTCCTGAAGCTTCCTCCAACGGTCAATGGTGGACCCTATATTTATCCTACTCAAAGTTCGGCGTTCTTGACTTTTTTTTTTAATCTCTGCTCGTTCCTCTAATGACTTTCTCTTTCGTCCTTACTGTAGGGGCAAGCAGGGGACGCTTGCTGCTGTCTTTTTTTTTATCCATTGCTGATATGCTACTTAGCTAGATACCATAGACTGTCAGCTGCTTGCTCGCGCAATTTCATGACGCAGGAGGGGTGCGGTGGGGTGGAGACGCGAGCGCCAGGCGGAGTTTCAGTGGAGCTGGTGATTGGATGAGAGCAGTTGACCAATGTAAGCTGTCCGGCCGGACAGCTTACATTGGTCAACTTCTCTGCGGCTGTACAGCCAATAGAGTGAATGGATTTTTTTCATTCTTTTTTCTATTCATATTGTTAGGTTTGTACTATATAACCATAACCAGCATCTAAACGAGGATATTAATAATGAACAATCTTTGAAATCGTATACCCTAGCTTTAATGATAAATCTGCAAAGACAGTTAAAATCTGCTCCATTACAACCTGTAGATTTGCCGGATGGACCTTGGCAAAAATTGGGTCTTGATATCGTCGGGCCTTTCGAGGCTCTGACTCGCTGTCCCAGTTTAAAACTAGATTACAGACGCATCTCTTTAGCCAAGCATTCACATAATGCTTACCTTTTATACCACTGTTGAATCAGATCAAATGCATTTAATACTATATTATAAAACTTGAAGAGTCTGTAAGTTATTTGTATAGGTTGCATAGTATTTACAGTCATTACGTTCCAGTGTATATTGCGTGAATGATGGGTGGTTGGGCAAATATTGTGTTTTGCGGTAGGTGGTATGCCAAACGGAACCGTTGCCACTGAAACTGCATATTAACGCACCAGGGGGGCTCGACAGCCTTAGTCAAACGGGTTGGCGCGTATGGTTGGGCTGCGGAGAGATTGTGAGATTGTGGTTAGGTCTCAGCAGCAGGAGGGATGTAAAGGTCAGTAAGCTGGGCTGAGTTGAGTGGGGGACGGGGGACGGGGGGGGGACTCTGGGACGCCAGAGTCACTGTCTTCATGTTTTTATCATCTACTCTCGTGTTATGGAAATCATTATGAACAGCAGCTATGCTAATTATTTCCCTTTTTTCCTTTTCTGCTGTTATCTCGGGATGTGAGTCCCGAGGAAAATGGCGTTCGTCAGCTCCAGTTTGTATCCAGCCTCTCACGGAGACTTCAGATGCCCCAATCACAAAGCCTGTGAAGAGACGACTCAATTCTGTCACCTGATGGAATTTTGGTTCCTTGCCACTGTTGCATTGGCTTTTGGCTTGCTTAGTTGGGGACATTTAATATTCAATAATATTATTGATCTGCCTTACTTAAGGTGGACATTGACGCAATTTTCTTTTAGAAACAAACTTTGTTGTATTATTTTCATGTTATCACTGTGAAGCTGCTTTGATACAATCTGTATTGTAAAAAGCGCTATATAAATAAAGGTGACTTGACTTCCGACTTGCTGCATCAGGTTGTCGTTTCGCAATTTCATTGGTGGACTATTACAGCAAATGGCCAGAAGTTGCTTTTTCTTTACATGTCACTACTGAGGTTGTTACTTCTTTCTTACATTCTGTGTTTGCACGAGAAGGAAACCCTGAAGATAGAAACTGGACCTCAGTTTCTATCTTCAGCTTTTTCAGATTTCCTTTCTGAACGTGGTATCAAACACCAGGGGTGGGCGGTATGACCAAAATACTATTTCACGGTATGACTAATTTTATTTCACGGTAACAATATATTTCACGATATAGTTATTTATATATTATTCACGAAAAATCGACAACTGTTTGCGTGTCATGCTGAATGTGATTTTCGTGTTTAAAAACTATACATACAAGATGGAAAGATGCAGATAACTATACATTATTTAAGGTTATTTCTATTCGTTCCGATATTGATATATGAACTGTTGTTGTCAATTAATGCTTTCCCCGTTGCGAACGTGCACTCCTCTAAACTGTAACTAGGGGTGCTGCACTGCTTTAGTGACTGCTGCGCCTTTCCCCCCCGAAAATATCACGTTAACAACAACAACCCTTTAGAAAATGTAATTCCTTTGTGGATCCTCTTGATCAGTTTCTCCATGTTTCTTTGACAATTCTCAGTGTTTCAGTCTCACGCACGCTGCACGCGAGTTAACCACGCCCACTTATTTACATGTCGCGGTATACACGGAATAAAAAAATCTGTTATGGTTGACATTTTCTACCGCGGTAACGATATATACCGTCATACCCCCTAGCCCTATCAAACACCTGCGTACAAGTGTGTATCACTCACAAAGAAATGGTGCAGTTGAACGCTGGAACAGAGTACTGAAAGAGTGTATCTTATCTGCGGAACAAATGAGAAAAGCTTGGAGACTGTCAGTAGTTAAGTTTCTTCAGAGTTACCGTGCTACTCCTCATGCTACTACCGGTGTATCCCCATCTGAACTTTTGCATAACCGGAAACTGAGAACGAAGGTAGACATTTTCCCTGTCAGGGGGAAAAGTGACAAATGTGCTGGTGTACGAGATGCTGTCAAGGAAAGGCAGGAGAAAAGTAAGAAATACACACGACAGGAAGAGGAGAGCCAAACCTGTTTCTTTCAAGGTCCTAAAGTAAGCTCTAAGTATACCTTACCTTTGTCGATTCGTGAAAAGATCAGACCAAATTCATTCTTGCTTAGTGATGGAAAGAAATGGAATGGACTGAGACTGACTAAATTTCCAGATCAAACTGAAAAAAATGTTCTGGGATCAAATCTGCCTGCTCAAAACTGAGTTGTTAAACCACCAGTGTGGATGAAAGACTGCATAAAGTAGTGAAGTCAAAAGACAAAATGATTGTGGAAAAAAAAAACACACAAAAAAAACACATACTTGTTCTAGTGTGTTAAGATACTTAGAATGGCAGTTCTAAATAATACTGTTTATGTTAGGAGATTTAAATTTTGACTTGCAGTAATGCATAATGTTCTTGTATGTTAAGAAGTGTTACTATGGCTGTTGTCTTAAAACATACTGCCTTACAGGTTAAATACTGTATAAGTCACCTACTGACTTTATGTAAGGGGGGATGTTGTGTTCTGTGTAATTGCACTAGAGGGCACTAGCGAGTTCAAGTGAACAAGAAGCAAAAGAGAGAGGAGGAGAATTGCGAATAGTCATGGTTGATATGAGTTCGTGAACTAGTGTGAAATAAAGAAGTTAAACAATTCTACTTACCTCGTCAATACGTTGATGTCCTAGAGTTAACTGCTTGCTTACATATTGATATCAGAATACAACAGTATGTGTAATAAATTCTATGCTGAATCACATATTTATTCTGAAGTTACTTTTTGTAATGTCTATTTGATGTTTTACACAAGGACTTGATGTGCGACTAATCGCCACATCATGTAATTAATTTGATTAAAAAAATGTAACTGCTTGACAGCCTTATTCAATATATTGGTAATGAATACATTCTATGAGAATTTATATTTCAAGTTTTGACTGTAAATGTCACGTCCATAATGCTGGAATTGCTCTATATCAAAATGAGAGTAACCGACCTGTGGTCAGATCACCTGAGGCAGATCTTAATACCAGGTGTAAACCGGGCCTCTTATTGTCCCACATACTTGAGTATCTGCAGTGAGCAGTTTGGATCCTTCAGTTTGTCAGAGAGCAGCTTGACTCTTGATTCTCCTGGGTGATTGTAGCTCAGATCCAGCTCTCTCAGGTGTGATGGGTTTGAACTCAGAGCTGAAGACACATAACCACAGCCTTCCTCTGTCACCATACAGCCAGACAACCTACAGACACACACAGTCAGAACATCTACAAACACACATCAACATTATGACCGATAGACTGTAAATAATCTCTCATATGTTCTTAAATACCTCAGTATCTGCAGCTGACAGTTTGGGCTTTTCAGTCCATCAGAAATAATCTTCACTCCTGAATCCTGCAGGTCATTGTTACTCAGATCCAGCTCTCTCAGGTGTGATGGGTTTGAACTCAGAGCTGAAGACACATAACCACAGCCTTCCTCTGTCACCATACAGCCAGACAACCTACAGACACACACAGTCAGACCATCTACAAACACACATCGACATTATGACCGGCAGACTGTAAATAATCTCTCATATGTTCTTAAATACCTCAGTATCTGCAGCTGACAGTTTGGGCTTTTCAGTCCATCAGAAATAATCTTCACTCCTGAATCCTGCAGGTCATTGTTACTCAGATCCAGCTCTCTCAGAACAGAGTTTGAGGATTGTAGAGCTGATGACACAATTTCACAATCCTGACCAGTGAGATTACAGCCAACCAGACTAGAAGAGAGTAAATACTGCACAATAAGTTGGGGTTCAGGGTGCTTTTCTTTAAAGGGGCAGCAGTAGCACATCAAAAAACAGAAAAATAGATGAATAAATAAATATACACATACATACATACATATACCGGTACATACATACATACATAACACACACATATATATATATATTTATATATGTGTGTGTGTGTGTGTGTGTGTGCGTTATGTATGGATGTATCTACCGGGATATATGTATGTGCATATTTATTTATTCATTTATTTTGATAAATGCTGCTAGCACACACACACACACACACACATATATATATATATATATGTGTCTGTGTGTTATGTATGTATGTATGTACCGGTATGTATGTACCATATATGTATATATATACATTAGTGCTGTCAAACGATTCAAATATTTAATCGCGATTAATCGCATTAATGTCATAGTTAACTCGCGATTAATCGCAATTAATCACACATTTTTATCTATTCTAAATGTCTCTTGATTTATTTTTGTCCCATTCTTTTTTTCTCATTTTAATGCTCTTATCAACATGGAAAAGTGGATCGGCTTGCTTTGTGCAAATGTGCAAATTATCTGAATAGTTCTGCCAATGATTACAGCTCATGGAAATCAAAACTCTATATCTCAGAATATTAGAATAAAGAATGTATAATACAGAAATATCAACCAGGGAAGAGCCTTTAATCTCTCTACTACATGAACTTAAGAAGTGAAATAAATGCATGTTTTATTACTGGAAATTATAAAGTCACAGTTGAACAGTAATATAAAGTTTTTCCACGTTTGAATAATTTGGCACACAGCGAAATGGTACAGCCAATCACAGAGGACAGGAACTGTAACCAATCATGTGTAGTGAAATGATGCCGACTGGATCCGCCCACCTACTGCCAAAAAGATTAACCGCGAGCAAGCGAGCAGGTTAGAGTTTCCCGAGCAGCAGAGCAAGGACTTGTACATGGGATTCTGCGCGCGCTCAAAGCACAGTTTTCTCCTCGCGGGTTACAATCCTGCTCGCGCGAGCAGAGAAATTCTGCGCGCAAAAGTAATATGCGCGCGTGCGGCTTTCGCTTGTGCGAATACTATTCACCCAGGCATGAGCAATATATCTTGATAATCTTTTAAGTGTGTACTTTTAAATTATCTAATTCAAAACTAAAATAAATATTCTGTTTATGTAATCTATATAAAAGGGAGAGATGTCAGCCGTTCTCATTATCGTTCTCGCAGCTCATTATTCTGCTAATATGACACGCCCACGGAGAGCGCGCGCTATTCAAACGCTAATGATCTGAAGCAACACATGCAGACGTGTAAACGCCCACATAAACTCGGCAAAACACATCAAGTATAATCAGATTAATGTACTATGTCTTCTTGCGAGGCTGTGAGGAATAATCCTGGGACATTTACCTCAGTGCTGGTTTATCCAAAGCATCCAGCTGAGAATTGTGTAAATTTTTTATTCTTGTGCTTTGTTCTAATCGCGATATAGAATAGTGTCTGTAAACGCAAAAATACTGTTTAAATATGAATCACATTTTTGTGTGTGAATGAATGAATGAACGCACAGATGCGCACTGTTACAGACGAAATTATGAAAGACAACATTTCGTTGACTAGTTTTGGATAGATTATAAAGTTTTTACTCTAAAATAGATATCAAATAAGCTTTTGTTTGCAGTTTCTGCTCATATGTATAGTATGTTTTGTCAAAAATAAACTAATCTAAAAATGTTGTAAGCAGCCAAGCCTATTACTTTAAGCAGCTGATGGCTGCTGGACGGTGCTTGTTAATGGACGCGCTCGCTTGGGTTGTTATTCACAGCAATGTCCACACCAAGTTTAATATGCTTACATTGTAGATTTATTTTACCGTGACTGGTCCTCATTTCCATGTAAGCAAGAGTCCAACAAACAGTCAATAAATCCACAGTTACAATTTCTTCACCCTGGCAGATTTCATACTGCACAGCATGGCACATGATAGCTCAGTGTAGCATAGCTTAGCGGTCAAAAAACTGTGTGCACCTTCCCTCCAGCAACACATGTCACCTGAAGGAAGGTTCCTACCTATATTCAGCAACCAATTACCCAAAGAGAGACCCCTACTGGACACACACCTGCATAAGGTTTAAATAAAGACAAAATGGCTCTTACATACCGGCCCCTAATTGGGATGAATCAAACATACCAATTCCCAATACATAACAAAGAGCCACAAATAGTGAGCACAATAAACACACATGACGCTTATCACAAAACCCCTCAGCCCATAGACTCGTGTAAAAAACAAAGCTTTGCTACAGGCCTGTCTATAACACTGGTCTTAGTTTGTAAACGCACAGAACGAACCAGCCCCTTTTTGTCAGGGAATGTTTCCAAAACTCTTCCGAGTGGCCAGGAGCCTCGAGGCGCCGTTGGATCCATAATGGCCACAATGTCTCCAGGCTTGAGGCTATTCTTAGTTTTATTCCATTTCTGCCTCTCCTGCAGCAAAGGTAGATATTCTCTCACCCATCTCTTCCAAAAGAGATCTGAAATGTATTGGACCTGTCTCCACCTTCTTTTTATATACAAATCATGTACATCAAACAATCCAGGAGATAATGTCGGCTTTCCTTTCAGCAACAGGATATGATTAGGGGTCAGAGCTTCAAGATCCATTGGATCGTCAGACAATTTTGTGATTGGTCGATCATTTAAAATGGCCTCAGCTTCACACAATACTGTGTGGAAACCATCATCATCAAGCATCTGCTGTTGGAGAACTGCAGTGAGGATTTTCCTCAACATGCGGATGACCCGCTCCCAAACCCCACCATAATGGGACCCAGCAGGAGGATTGAAACTCCACTTAATGCCCTTCTGGCATAAAACTCCTTGAATGTTAGCCTGATTCAATGATGAAAGTGCCTCCCTAAGTTCTCTCTTTGCCCCTATGAAATTTGTACCATTATCTGATAGAAGATGCTCCACTTGCCCTCTTCTACTGATAAATCGACGCAAAGCATTAATACAGGCATCCGTGTCAAGAGAAGTGGCCAATTCAAGGTGAACTGCTCTGCTGGACAAGCAGGTGAAGATGACACCATAACGCTTCGCTGTGCCTCTTCCCTTCTTCACCACTATTGGTCCAAAATAGTCAACACCTGTGTTGGTAAATGGCGGATGGTCTGGCAGAATCCTCTCCTTGGGCAGGTCAGCCATCTTTTGCCCCATCATCCGACCATTATATCTTTTACAGAAACAACATTCTGCTATGATCTTTCTCACAGCTGAGGTGGCACCTGTGATCCAATACCTTCTTCTTAACGTAGACAACATGTGGTTACGCCCACTATGGCCAAGCCGTTGATGTAAATCCCTCAGTATAAGGGTAGACACATGCTGATCTTTAGTGAGGAGTAGTGGATATTTTGTGTCTTCTGGCAAAGAGCATCGTGTCAGCCGCCCTCCGACTCTCAAAAGCCCATTATCCAACCATGGGTCCAGCTTATAGATGGAACTCTGTTTGCTTACTATATCCTTCCCAGAAGACAAAGCATCGATCTCTTCAGGGAATCTTTGCTGTTGGCAGTAGCAGATTATCGCCAGCTCCGCTTCCATAAGATCTTCTGCTGACAAGATTTGTCCTCCTGTTGCATCTTTAACTATCTGACTCTCTTGCACCAAAGCACTCTGCTTGTTGGCATCAGCAATATCTGGCTCCATCCTTTTGCGAGTTCTTCTCAACAATAATATCCTCTTCAACCTAAGCAACCAGCCAACTGCTACTCGAAGTTTCCTCCAATCTGAAAAGTAAGCCATCAGCCAATCTGTACCCTTCAGTGAACCTTGAGTATTTACCACATTTACAAAGGCTTCTTTCTTGACTTCGAGGTCGTCAACCCCTACTGCAGTCTGTACAAGATTTTTGGGCCAATCCTCTTCTGGTTTACACAGAAACTTGGGGCCTTCTATCCATCTGTTTTTCTTAATAAAATCTCCAGCCCTTTTTCCTCTGGATGCATCATCAGCTGGATTCTCCTTTGAGCCAACGTATCGCCACTGTGATGTCTTTGTGCCTTCCCTGATAATGGAGACTCTGTTGGCAACAAAAGTATGAAAACGCTTGTCCTCATTCATAACATACTTAAGCACAGATGTGCTGTCTGTCCAAAAGACAGATTCTTGCAACTGGAGCCTCAGCTCTTTCTTTAACATCAGGTCAACACGAACAGCAAGCACAGCAGCAGTTAACTCCAAACGAGGAACAGTGATGACCTTTAAAGGTGTTACTCTGGCCTTGCCCATGAGGAAGGCAACATGAATGTCATTGTTGCTATTCTGGATTCGAAGGTAAGTGACTGTGCCATACCCTTGTTCGCTTGCGTCTGAAAAATGATGAAGCTGAGCATGCATGCAAGACCCACAGCTTATGGGCTTAACGCATCTCTCAACTTTGAATTCAGACAGTGCATTCAGCTCCTTCAACCACCTTGTCCAGTCACGCAAAATGTCGTAGGGCACAGTCTCATCCCATCCGTAATTCCTCCGACATAACTCCTGTAGCATGATCTTAGCAGGTAGCACAACTGGTGCCAAAAACCCAAGTGGATCGTATACGGAGCTGGAAACCGACAACATCCCACGTCTTGTGCAGGACTTCTCCTGGACCTCCATTTTGAACTTAAATGAGTCAGTTTCCGCACACCAAAGCAATCCAAGGGCTCTCTCAACTGGCAGGCTGTCCCTGTCCAGATCAAGCTCCTTCCACTCTTTGGCTCGGTGCTCTTCGGGAATGGTTTGCAGGACAGTGCGCTTGTTGCTACTCCATTTTGTCAGAATGAAACCACCTCCCTGACAAAGAATGGAAAGATCTTCAACTAAGCAAACTGCTTCATCTTCAGATGCCACACTCTTAAGGCAATCATCTACATAGAAGTTTTCTTTGAGAGTTTGAACAACCTCTTCTCGGAACTCAGATTGATGATCAT